ATGCCCAAGAGAGGAATTGCTGGATCTTGAGGTAGACTGATTCCCATTTGCCTGAGAAACCTCCATAATGATTTCCAAAGTGGTTGTACAAGTTTGCACTCGCACCAGCAAGGCAGAAGAGTTCCACTTTCTCCACATCCTCTCCAGCACAGATTTTCATTGGTGTTATTGATTTTAGCCATTCTGACAGGAGTAAGATGGTATCTCAGAGTGGTTTGACTTGCATTTTCCTAATGGCTAAGAATGGTGACCCCTTTCTCAAGTGTCTTTCAGCCATTTTGGATTCCTCTGTTGAAAATTCTCTATTTAGTTCTGCACCCCAACTTTTAATTGCATTGTTTGGTGTTTTAGTGGCTAGCTTCTTGAGGTCATTGGATATTTTTGAAATTCTCCCTCTGTCAGATGTGGGGTTGATGAATATCTTTTCCCATTCTGTGGGCTGGAGTTTTGTCTTGCTGACTGTGTCCTTTGCTTTACAGAAGGTTGTCAGTTTCAGGAGGTCCCATTCATTAATTGTTGATCTCAGTGTTTGTGCTACTGGTGTTATATTCAGAAAGCAGTCTCCTGTACCAATTTGTTTGAGGGTACCACCTAACTTCTCTTCTATGAAGTTGACTGTGGCTGAATTTATGATGAGGTCCTTGATCCATTTGGACTTAAGTTTTGTGCATGGTGATAGATATGGATATAATTTCAATCTTCTACATGTCTGAATCCAGTTATGCCAACATCATTTGTTGAAGATGCTTTCTTTTTTCCATTGTATATCTTTTGCTTTGTTGTCAAAAATCAGGTGTTCATAGGTGTGTGGGTTAATATCAGGGTTTTCAATTAGATTTCATGGGTCTATCTGTCTATTTTTGTGCTAATACCAAGCTGTTTTCAGGACTATGGCTCTATAATAGAGCTTGAAGTCAGAGGTTGTCATGCCTCCGGAAGTTCCTAAAAAAATTGTGCTGGGTTGTTTTGGCTATCCTAGTTCTTTTGTTTTTCCATATGAAGTTGAGTATTGTTCTTTCAAGGTCTGTGAAGTATTGTGTTGGGATTGTGATGGGAATTGCATTGAATCTGTAGATTGCTTTTGGCAAGATTGCCGTTTTTAATATGTTGATCCTATCTATCCAAGAGCATAGATCTGCCCATTTTCTGGTATCCTCTTTAATTTCTTCCTTTAAAGACTCAAAGTTCTTACTATGCAGGTCTTTCATGTTTTTTGGTTAGCGATACTCCAAGATGTTGTTTGTTGCTATTGTAAATGGTGATGGTTCTCTGACTTCTTTCTCAGCCCATTTATCATTTGTATATAGTAGGGCTACTGATTTTGTTTTTTAGTTAATCTTGTATCCTGACACTTTGCTGAAGGTGTTTATCAGCTGTTGGAGTTCCCTGGTACAGTTTTTTTTAGTCACTTATGTAGACTATCATATCATCTGCAAATAGTGAAAGTTTGACATCTTCCTTTCCAATTTGTATCCCCTTGATCTCCTTTTTTTGTCTTATTGCTCTAGCTAGAACTTCAAGTACAATATTGAAGAGATATGGTGAGAGTGGGCTGCCTTGCCTTTCCTGATTTAATTTTGGTAAGTGATACCTATCTAAAAAATTTTCCATTTCCTTTTGATTTTCGAATTTTGTGTTGTACAGGTTTTCAAAATATTACCTGATGATTCTCTTGATTTCCTCAGTGTCCATTGTTATGTCCCTCTTTTCACTTCTGATTTTGCTAATTAGCATGCTCTCTCTCTGCCTTTTGGTTAGTTTGGATAAAGGTTTGTCTACTTGTTGACTTTCTAGAAGAACAAACAATTTGTTTCATTGAGTCTTTGTAATGTTTTCCTAGTTTCTACTTTATTGATTTCAGCCCTCAGCTTGATTATTTCTTGGTGTCTACTCCTCCATGGTGAGTTTGCTGCCATGTGTTCTAGAGCTTTCAATTGTGCTGTTAATTCTCTATTGTAACTATTCTCCAGTTGTTGTTTTTTTTTTCATGTGGGCATTTAGTGCTATGAACCTCTTAGCACTGGTTTCTAAGTACCTGATAGGTTTGAGTATGTTGTGTCTTCATTCTCATTAAATTCTATAAGAGTTCATGGCTAACCATTTGATATTGAATAAGCATCTGGTATGTGTTTTTTCCCTAAATATTGTTACTTATAACTTTCTCAACATTCTTCAGCTGTCTTCAGTTCTTCATCTTTGGTCGAGTCCATCTTAACAGTGCCCCCTCACCATGTTAGTATTTCTCCTCTTATATTCTTTTTTCAGGAATATACTTTTTTAGATATAATCTTTGATGATGCTGGTAGCACAGCAATGGAGGTGATTTGTGATAATAATCTATAACTTTCAGGCACAAAACTGAGTAAGTCGGCAGCAGAACCTGAGGATAATTCTAACTTAACTTCAGGAAGCAATAGAGAAAGAACCCCAAACTCAGACTTCCTTTCAGATCTCAAGATAATTGTGGAGGCCAGAGTCTATCTCTCTCAGCACTGGCGGTGGACTTTCTCTTTAGAGAATAGAAAGGATAAGTATAATTGTGGGTCCCTCAGGAAACTAGGATTGTGATGCAGGGTGTAATACAATTTCCTCAGCTCCTTCTTCAATATAAATGATCTCATCTGAGGAAAAGCCTGGACCTTCTTCTGCCCTGCTTATAAACACACACATCCTGCAGTTAAAGGGCCTTTCTCTGCTTACAGAAAAGACGCAAAGTCTTAATCACAAATTATGTTATCCAATTCAGAAATTGGCCCAGGAAAATTAAGTTTTAGGTCTATCTTCTTTGAATTGAAATATCTGAATCCTTTGAATTTGAATTATTTATACATATGAACAGAAGTAAATGGAAAAGTCATTAAGCTTCAAGGTTACAAGTAAAATGGGTGAGTATCTGAATTTCGGGTGGAGTAACAGATCTATTTCTCTCTATCTTTAACTTAATATTTGCTTTAATTTTTATTTTGTAGAAAATATGTAGTTCACATATATATTGTAATTGCATTTTCCTCTTTCCCAGCTCCTCAGAGATCCTCTCCACCTCATCTCCCTTCTGAATCCATATACTTTAAATCTTCTTAATATGTGATGGGTTCAGCACATGTCTTCCTTTTTCTGTGCTCAATGAGACTCAAGTGAAACTTGCAGAATAAAGCATTAAGGTGGATCAGAGAGGGCTAAGAGGCATTAATCATTAATAGCTAATGAAGTTGCAACATCTCCACTACAGTTCTCCTGCTTGATCTCAACTCACATCTTCCAGATGCGTGACTTTGTGACATGAGAACAGGAAAACTTTTCTACCTGTCCCATTCTTGTTCCTTTAGTTTAGTTCAGGTGCATGTTTTTCATTCACACCACAGCAAAGTTGAATCTGTGTCACCAACCTGTACTCTAATTTCCAGGCATCAGCTTCCAATTTTATTTTTGTAAGGAGAATGCTATGAAGAATGGCAGGAGACGGGAGAAGTTTAAGTACTTCTTAGTGTATTCCTTTTAATAAATGATACTTAAATTCATTACCATTGGCTTTCTCACTTCAGATCATTTTCTGTGGCTGAAGCAGCTGATTCTACATGATTAGTCTGGGCTAGAAGAAACATTTTCAACATGCACCGATAGTTAGGAAGAATCCATGACTGGTGTGGATCATCCTTTATTGCAGCTCTATTTTGTATGTTCACAGATTCCGTTAGAGAAGAATGGACTCAGTAAATGTCTCCTTGGTGACTGAATTCATCCTGGTAGGATTAACAGACCAGCCTGAACTCCAAATGCCCTTGTTCTTTGTGTTTCTGACAATGTATGTGGTCACTGCATTGGGAAATTTGTGTTTGATCATTCTAACTGTGGTGAATTCTAACCTCCACACTCCTATGTATTTCTTTCTCTTTAACTTGTCCTTTGTAGACCTTTTTTATTGTTCTGTGTTTACTCTCCAAATGCTGATGAACTTTATATTAAGGAAGAAAGTAATTTCTTATATGGAATGTATGACCCAAGTTTTCTTCTTTTCCTTCTTTGTTGTTTCTGAGTGTTATGTGTTGACTTCAATGGCCTATGATTGCTACATGGCCATATGTAATCCACTGTTGTATAATGTTGTTATGTCTCCTAAATTATGTTTGAATCTCATGCTTGGTTGCTACTTTATTGCATTTTCCAATGCTGTAGCTCACACTGTATGCATGCTGAGACTGACCTTCTGTGATGGCAACACCATCAACCACTACTTCTGTGATATTCCTCCTTTGCTCCAGCTCTCCTGCACAAGCACCTATGTCAACAAACTCGTAATTTTTGTTCTTGGGGGCATCAGCATCATTGTTCCTAATTCAACTATCTTTGTCTCCTATGGTTTTATCCTTTCCAGCATCTTCCACATCAGTTCCTCTGAGGGCAGGTCCAAAGCCTTTAGCACCTGCAGCTCCCATGTCTTTGCTGTTTTTCTGTTCTTTGGTTCAGGTGCATTTGTGTATTTCAAACCCTCCTCAGCTGGGTCTATGAATGAAGCAAAAATCTCTTCTGTCACTTACACGAATGTTGTTCCTATGTTGAATCCCTTAGTATACAGCTTGAGAAACAAAGATATTAAATTTGCCCTTAGGAAAACCCTGAGCAGCTGGAAATTTTGACTAGATAGGTTTGTCTTTATACCTCATATTTGGGTACAGGAATAGTTTCCTTTAATGGGTAATATTTCAGCTGTAGATTTTACCTTTGTTTTTTTTTCTATTCTAGAAAATATTCTACCTTTCTTTCCTGTTTTGAGCAGGTAGAAATCCTTGGAATAATTATGAAACCTAGGTTTTCTTTTGTACTATGAAAATAAATTTGAGTCTTCTACATTTTGTTTAATATTTTGAGAGTTTGCCTTCTTCAATTTTGTCATATCTAACATTCTGTCACCTCTTTCTTATTTAAAAATTATACCAATGAAACAGTTTACTCATTTCCCCCAATTCATTACAAATTTATCTTTCTTCTTTTCATGATCAAAAACAGTTCCTCCAATGATCAACTGAAGTAACACTAGGATGCCAGTTACCACTCTATGTTGGGACTGTCTCATTTGAAGTAGTTTCATGAATGTGTAACTCAAACTACTGATTCAATTGTTTTTCTGTATTTTGTCCATTGGGAAGCAACATATCCCTTTCAACTGTCAATGCAATAGATATTATTTATTGGTAATCAATAGCTTAGTGAAAGTGTAGCATTTCATAATGGTTCCAGGTTTCCTTTATGATCACGATTTTTGCAATAGGAAGTTGAGTTCATCTACAAAATTAAAAATGGAACAATTTGAATGTTTTAAGAGTCTAGTGATTCAAAAGAAGAAGATCTGGGAAAAAGAGGGCCATTAACAGTCATGAAAAAGCCAAGAAGACAGACAGTGTGTAAATAACAGCCTTTTCCTATAAAGACCCAATGAGGCATTCTGAAATTCATATTACTATCTGAATCTTAACTTTCTTCTCTAGAGCATTGCAAATAATTCTCTTGCTTTATTAATCTCACATGATCTTTCACACTCACAGTGACTATGCATTAATAGTGTTTCAATTAATGAAGATTGCTTTATCGAGAAATGAAGACAGTTTACATTTTTGGGTCCAAGTAGACTGGGAACAGATAAATCAAGGAGTAAAGAGTGAATAAGGCTTCAGGCTGTAAAGGGCAGCCAGTGGAAGCTTCTTTCCATGGCTTCTTTTATCTTTTCTGGAACTTCCTGAAAATATTGTGAGGACTGAAACATGTCTCTGCATAGGCTAAAAAGCTTAAGTGAACTGACAATAAAGAAAATTTTGCTTCAATGAAAGATCCAGAGACATGTGAATCATTGAATCATGGTTGACTTTCATATGAGATTCCCATATGGATTTTATCTGCAATATAAACAAAACATCACCAAAGTTGACTTTTTTTGCACAGTCAAGGAATCCTGGGCATAGATATTATTTGCACATTACTCCTGATCATCTGAGTTTTTCTATTCTGTAAATCAATGTGAGTAGATGAAGTATTTATAGTCAAGAGTCATTTTAGTTTATCCACTTAAAACATTAAAAAAATGTAATAACTATGGCAAGACTTTCCATTCTAGATCGAGATTTTCCTACACAGTGTATGGGAGGGCAGTGGAATCATGTGCATTTTTATGAATCTTTAGTTTTATCTTTTTCCCATCAATGTTGCATTCAGACTAAAACATCTGCATTTACAATTGTCCATGAGTTCATGATTTTTATAGGTACTAATACATTTATTTTTATTTTATTTTATTTATTTATTTCCTTTAATTGATTCTCACACAATATACCTTGAATACAGTTTCCCCTTCTCTTTATTTCTCTTTCCACCTCTGTTCATATCCACTCTCTTTCTCTCTAATTGGAAAAGAACAGCCTTTTGGTAGCAACAGAACATTACAAAATAAAAATAATAATATAAAACAAATACCATCACAATGTACTAGGGCAAGGCAAATGAGCAAAAAAAAAATGAAAAGAGCCCAAATTAGGCACAAGAGTCATAGACCCACTTGTTCACACACTCAGGATTCCCATAGAAATACAAACTGAAATCTGTCATACATGTGCAGAGACCCTAATGCAGGCCCATATAACTTCAGTCACTGCAAGTTTATAGAAAATTTGAGGCCCTTGTTCTCCCAGTGTCCTCCATCCCCTATGGTTCTTATACTCTTTTTTTGAACATTTTTATATTAAAAAAATCTTTTCTTATTTTATATACCAGTTCCCAATCCCCCTTCTCCTGCTCTACCCATGTTTCCCCCACCCCACCATGATCCACTCTTCAGAAAGTGGAAGGCTTCCCATGGTTAGTCATTGAAGGCTGGCACATTTCTTTGAGGCAAAACCAAGGCCCTCCCTCCTCTGTCTAGACAGAGCAAGGTATTGCTCCATAAGGAATGGTTACAAAAAGCCAGTTCAAGTACTAGAGATAAATCCTGGTCCCACTATCAGTGGCCCCACAGACTGCCCAAGCCAGAAAACTGGTACCCACATTCAGAGGGCCTAATTTGGTCCTATGCAGGTTCCCCTGCTGTCAGTTCAGAGTCAGTGAATTGAAAACCCTGATGTTAACTCACACTTATGAACACCTGATTTTTGACAAAGAAGCTAAAGGTATACAATAGATTAAAGAAAGCATCTTCAACAAATGGTGCTGGCATAACTGGATGCTGGCATGTAGAAGACTGCAGATACATCCATGTCTACTGACATGCACAAAACTTAAGTCAAGTGGATCAAAGACCTCAACATAAACCCAGCCACACTGAACTTATTAGAAGAGAAAGTAGGAAATACCCTTCAACGAATTGGTATAAGAGACTTCCTGAACATAACACCAGTAGCACAGACACTGAGATCAACAATTAATAAATAGGACCTCCTGAAACTGAGAAGCTTTTGTAAGGGAAAGGACACAATCAACAAGACCAAGCATCAGCCCATGGATTAGGAACAGATATTCATCAACCCCACATCTGACAGAGGACTGATCTTCAAAATTTACAAAGAACTCAAGAAGCTAATCTCTAAAACACCAAATAATCCAATTAAAGAGAGGGGTACAGAACTAAATACACAGTTCTCAATAGAGGAATCTAAAATGGCTGAAAGACACATAAGAAAGTGTTCAACATCCTTAGGTATCAGGGACAAAGAAATCAACACAACTCTGAGATACAATCTTACACCTGTCAGAATGGCTAAAATTAAAAACACCAATGACAGTTTATGCTGGAGATGATGGGAGAAAGGGGAACACTCCTCCACTTCTGGTGGGAGTGCCAACTCATACAGCCACTTTGGAAATCAGTATGGTGATCCCTCAGGAAAATGGGAATCAGTCTACCACAAGATCCAGCAATTCCACTCTTAGGCATATACCCAACAGAAGCACATCCATGCAACAGAAGGTTGACTTGGGGAAAAATTATTTTAATATTAATACTGTTTTAAAGAGAGTGTATTCCCATTCAAATTTATAGAACTTCATTTTAACCTCTTCTATTATCTCAATAAATATCGCTGAATGAAATTCTTCAAATATTTCTTAGAAGGATTGTTATAATTTCTACATGATAGTGTCAAAACCGGGGCCTCATGTGACCTAGTGAGAACTCTACCACTGACCTATACCCCCAGCACATTAAAGTAATGGACATCTAGGTTGATTCTGTTCCCTGTCCTTTGTGAATAGAAGAGGAATGGATGTGAGCATGCAAGTATTACATTAGAAAGATGTAAACTCCTTTGAGGACATCCCTCAGTACAGTATATAAGACATCATATGGTAGATATGTTTCTGGTTTGCTGAGGTTTCCATATTGACTGAGCTAGTCTATACTCCCAACAATGGTTTACAAGGATTTTCCCTTCCCCACACTCACCCAAGCATTTGTTGTCCTTTGTATTCAGGACTTTCTACCAGAGAGAGGTAGGGGAGTACCATTCTGACCAGGAGGAAAGGAAGTATGGGAGACTACAGTCAAGATGCATTACATGAGAGAAAAATAAAGAAATATATATAATATACATGCACAAATAAGTTTTAAAAGATAATTGGATAAGTTGGGAGGTTATATTTCCATCTTCACAAGAGGGGGTATTTTACCTAAAGAAAAACTTGCATAATATTTTGAGTATCTAGAGAACTAAAGGCATGCCATGATCCAAGTTATAAATACAACAATCTCAACTCCTTTTGATATTCAAATGCTATTCTTTTGTGAATGGAGTAACTATACTTCTACCCTATTTATAAGCAAGTAGGTTAAACAATTCAAGTCACATTATAACCACTGGGAACTCATTTCCTGTGCTGTATTTTCTTTCCCAGCTTTGATACAGAGGGAGGAGATTGGTCCTACCTCAACTTGATGTGCCATATTTTGTTCAAGTCCATGAGAAGCCTATTCCTTTCTGAATGGAGACAGAGGAGGAGTAGAGGAGAAGAGTAGATGGGAGTCAGGGGGAGAAAACTGGAGAAGAGAAAAAAGGGAAAGTATAGGCAGTATATAAAATAAATAAAAATGTCAATTAAAAATGAAATTAAGAAAGCCAAATTGTCTATCTAGTGGCAGTATGGGGGATCATGGTAAAGTTATTTCCTCTGCTGTTGGAGAATACTGAAAGTTGTAATCACAAAATATCTTCTGTAGTTCAGAAATATTTCTAGAGTATATCAGGAATTAACTCTTAACTATATTCTCTTCCTAGAATCAAAGTATCTAAAACCTTGGAATCCAAAATTTCTCTTCAGTACTAACTAAATAACAAAGAAAAGGAATTTCTGGAGTTCTACTGAAGCATACATTTCCTGAATCCCCCATGTATGAACTTTATTCTTAATATGCGAGGCTACAACATGCCATTTCTTTTCTATCTTTATGATCCATGAACTCAAGTAGAAGTATGTAGGGAAAACAGAGACTGTTAAGAGCTACAGTGGCCACACAAGTTGCAGGATCACCTCTTCTTGGATAAGACTTATACTCTAGTACGTTCATGATTTTCTTTGTGATTTGGGGCACTAAAAAAATAATCTACTAGCCTCATTCCTGGCTGTACCACAGATAAATCTGTATTATGGCCAGCCTTAAGTGGTCAAGACCCATTTTACTTCTGTGGGGATAACTCCAGTGAAGGAACAGATTACATGAGAAAATAGTACTTCTATCTTCATCTATTCTCATTTATCATTTTTCCTACAAATTATATTTGCATATTTTAAACACTGTCCATCTTTGCATGAGATAATTTGTTCCTTCTCTGTACAGCTTGATTTTATGTGCTCAGATGTGGATAGTCTCATGTTTTCTTGACCCACACATCACTTGTGGGGAAGGTATCATCATAGGAAGAGGGGATAATTTTCTAATGAGATCATCTTAGTGTATCTGCATATTCTTGTAGAGATACATGGCCCCTGAAAATGTCTCTTTGTTGACTAAATTTAGTCTGGTAGATTTAAAAACCAGCCTGATCTCCAAATAGCTCTATTCTTTGTGTTTCTAATAATGTATATCATTACTGCATTGGAAATATGTATTTGATAAATCAATTGTGTTTAATTCACACATTCTCAAAATACTTTGTACTCTAAACGGCACTTTATAGACCTCTGTATTTTTCTCTGTTTACTCCCAAAATGTTAGTGAACTTTATGTTAAGTAAGAATGTCATTTCTTTTAAGGGATATTTGAACCAACCCTATTTTTGTCATATGTGAATGTTATGTTCTGACATCAATGGCATTTGATCTCTATGTGCACTCTTGCCCTGTCCCTTAATTTGTGATTGAACCCTATGCTTGATACATATGCAATGGCATTTTCTGATGTCATGGCTCACACAGGATGGATACCAAGACTGACATTCTGTGTAAAAGCTGAGTGATACTTCACTGTGTAAATATACTATATATTTTTAATCCATTCTTCAGTTGAGCCACATCTCCACTGTTTCCAGGTTCTGGCTATTATGAATAAAGCTGCTATGAATATAGTTGAGCAAGTGCCCATTGGGTATATGCCCAAAAATGGTCTAGCTGGGTCTTGAGGTAGATCTATTCCCAACATTCTGAGAAACCACCACATTAATTGCTAAAATACTGTACAAATTTGCATTCTCACCACCAATGGAGGAGTGTTCCCCCTTGCTCCATATCCTCTCAAACATGAGCTGTCACTTGTGATTTTGGTATTAGCCATTCTGACAGGTGTTAGATGGAATCTCAGAGTTGTTTTGATATGCATTTCCCCGATGACTAAAATGTTGAACATTTCTCATCCTTTTATCATTTGTATATATGAAAGTCACTGGTATGGTGTGCCAAATTTTTATTCACAAATTATTTATCAGGTGCAGAAGTTTTTTTTTGGAGTATTCAGGGTCATTTATGCATGAAATATTATCTGCAAATAAAGATATTTTGGCTTCTTGCTTTCCTATTTTTAGCAACTTAAACTTCTTTAATTGTTCTATTGCTATGGTTTTGAGTACTATATTAAAGAGGTATGGAAAGAGTGGATTTATGGTCTTGTTCATAATTTGAGTGGATATGATTTGAATTTTTCTCCACTTAGGATGATATTGGTTGTGGGGTTTCTGTAAATTTCCTTTATCATGCTGAGGTATGTACATTATATCCCAGTCTCTCTAGGACTTTTGTAATGAAAGAACATTGGATTTCATCAAAGGTCTTCTCTATATTTTCTGAGACAATCATGTGTGTTTGTTTTGGTTTTGTTTTGGTTTGCTTTACTCTTAGTCTGTTTAGTTTCTGTCATGCATTATTATTGATTAATATATATTGAACCATCCCTGAATTTCTGAGATGAATTCAACTTGATCATATTTGATAATTTTTATGTGTTCTTGAGTTTTGTTTTAATATATTTATGGAGAAATTTTATCTATTTTCATGAATAATATTGGTATATAATATTACATTTCAGGAGCCTTTGTGTGATTTTGGTATCAGGGAAATAATTTGGCTTCATAAAAGGATTTGGAAATATTCCTTGAATTTCTTTTTATGGAATAATTTGAAGAGCATTAGTGTTAGATTGGTTTTTTATTGTAAGGTAGAATTATGCACTGATTGTGTATGGTTCTAGGCTGTTTAAATTGGGAGGTTTTTAACTATTACTTCTATCTAAGGACAAATTTTGAGTCACTTTAGGTTATTTGATGGTAACTCTAGGAATAAAAAATGTTTGAGCCACTTTTTGAAGCAGCCAATGTTACTACAAGATTGTGAAATAATCTTTAGCTCTATAAATGGGTATAAATATAATTATCACATGATATGGCAATTATGCATAAACTAAGAAGTCAAACATATAGGAGCACAAATCAATAGAGTTTATAAGATGATCATTCCTAATGTATAAAGAGTAAAATTAATCCAATTATGCATAAGTTAATGAATGAAAAAATTATGGTATAGTCGTGCATAAGAATTTTATTTTTGCTTTAAAACAACAAGTGCTCAATCAGGGTGAATGAACTTTGAAAACATATTGCTACAATAATGATTAAATCCAACCTGTATCTTTTAACTTTATTGATTTTCCACAGTAAGAAAATACTTTGAAATAAAACAATAGTAAAATTTACCTTTGCTACAAGTTGGTAGATGATTTGAGTTGAAGAATAAGTCATGACATCAAATTAATCTGGAATGCATCTGACTGATGATGACAAACTCTGAAATTATGCAATGATAAAAGTTTGACAAGTTTATAAGTATTCTAAGTATACCAATAGTCACTTTGCAATTTGAAAACCAAGTTATGAATGTTCTCTTTGCTCCACATCATGGCTAACTTTTAAATTTCTTCTTTCTTTCTTTCTTTCTTTCTTTCTTTCTTTCTTTCTTTCTTTCTTTTGTCATTTGTGGCTCAATTCCTTCAATCTGTAAGATTCTACTGGCTTAAGAGAAACCACTGTCTTAAAATACCATGACTAACATTCACACCTGTTTAATTCTTATTTAATCAGCCTTCTTGCAGAATACATCTGCTGGTTCCAACACTAATTTTGAGCAGAGAATCATTCTAAAAATTCAGTGAATCGGTATAAAAGGGAAACAGGGCTCATGCAGTCTGGATTCAGGAGCAGTCTGAGATTTGGTGAGGAGCAGTGCAGTCTGGAGATGTAATCTGAGCTTTGGAGGATCGCCCCTTCAGTCTAAACATCGCAGTCTGAGATTTGGTGAGGAGCAGTGCAGTCTGGAGATGCAATCTGAGCTTTGGCGGATCGCCCCTTCAGTCTAAACATTGGTAGAGGTGAGAAGTTTGTGGTAGCTTGGCTGCTTTGCTTCTCTGGTATTCAGCTTTAACATCAAAAAAATTAAATTAATCAAATCCAGAGTTTTATTAGGAAACCATCTTTAGAATTCATATTATTATTGAAAAGAAGTCAAAATTTTCCCAATAAATTATAACATCCACCTCTGTTAATGTACTTGTCTTCACAGATCATACCACAAAAATGCAGGTCCATCCTCCAAATGCAAATTAAAAGAACCAAATAATCATCTATATATATGCAAGCACAAACATACATATATGAACAATTGCCAAATAAAGAGCTTATGAATTTGAAGGAGAGCAGGTAGAGGTGTATGGGAGAGTTTGTCAAAGGTAAATTTAATTCTAATGTAATTTTCAGTTGGAACAACTTCAGCATAATCATTTTTCTTCATATTTTCTCTATTTCAATTCACACAATGAACAACAAAATAAAGATTTTGAAATTCCCAACTGTAAAGGACCCCAGACTTCGCTATCTACTGTTGAAAAGATCCTAAATATATGATATCAAGTGATAACTAAATCAATGCAATTGCTTCTTTTAAAACATTTCAGACCTTGAAGAATGAATGACATACTCTTTACACCTGCAACAGTCAAGGCACTGATAGCTGTATATATCAATCACCAAAATTTGAAAATGATGTATTCATGCCCAGGGGAGGAAGGAAAAGCACAAGCTTATGGTAGATTCATATTTTATTTCAGGAGGCAGGCAAGACTGTTGTTCCACAAAGGCATACTAGCAACATAGATAGCATTGTTTTCAAAGATGGAAGAAATAATCTTTGTATTATAGGACAAAGCATGTTTAAAAAGTTAATAAAGCATACCTTAAAAATACACAGCATGCAGACCAGGCATTGGTGGCTCACGCTTTTAATCCCAACACTTGGGAGGCAGAAGCAGGCAAAACTCTGTGAGTTTGAGGCCAGCCTTGTCTACAGAATGAGTGTCAGGATAGGCCCCAAAGCTACACAGAGAAACCCTGTCTCAAAAAAACAAAAAAAGAAAAAACAAATACAGAGCATGCAAGCAATCTAACTTCAAGCTTATGAATACATAGTAGGTAGAAACACAACAAAAAAGCTGCATTCAAACAGTACTAGGCACTGATAACTTCTCTGAGGTTTAACTACAAGCAAAGGTTAAATGGAATTCTGATTAATAATTCTCCTACTCAGGGTTTTTCTCAGGGAAACTTTAACATCTTTGTTCCTCAAGCTATAGATTAAGGGATTCATCATGGGAATCACGATAGTATAAAAGATGGACGAAATTTTCCCCTCATCCATAGACCCAGCTGAGGAGGGCTGAAGATACATAAATGCACATGACCCAAAGAACAGAGAAACTGCAATTATGTGGGAACTGCAAGTGTTGAAGGCTTTGGACCTGCCTTCAGTGGATCTTATTTTAAGGATGCTAGAGATGATAAAGCCATAAGAGGTAAAGATGATGACTGTGGGCACAATGATGTCTTTTCCTGCTACAGTGAACAGTCCTATCTCATTGACGTAGGTGCTGGTGCAGGAGAGCTGTAACAAAGGACGAATGTCACAGAAGTAGTGATTGATGATATTTCCATCACAAAAGGTCAGCCGAAGCATGCAACCGGTGTGGACCATGGCACCAGAAAGCCCCATCAAATACGAGCCAAGCATAAGATACAAGCATACCTTAGGAGACATAGAAATGTTATACAAGAGTGGATTACAGATAGCCACATAACGATCATAGGCCATTGCTGTCAACATGTAACATTCAGTAATGCCAAAAGAGCAAAACAAGAAGAGCTGGGACATGCAACCCATGTAAGAGATAGAATTCTTCTTCAGAAAGAACTTCATCAACATTTTTGGTGTAATTACTGAAGAATAACAGAGGTCTATGAGGGACAGGTTAAGAAGGAAAAAGTACATGGGGCTGTGAAGGTGAGAATTCAGTACAATTAGAATGATCAAAGTCAAATTTCCTAATATGGTTGTCATGTATATTAATAGAAAGAGGAAGAAGAGGGGTACTTGGAGATCAGGGTCTTCTGTTATCCCCAAGAGAATGAATTCCGTAACCAAAGAGCCATTTTTCACAGCCATTGTTCTCCAAGGAAATCTGAGGAGACAAAAATGCAAAATTGCAGGAAAAAGCACAACTGATAACAATGTTGGGAAATGTACTGGGAATACAGTGACCCACTTGAAAACAGTGGAACAAAATTCGATGTTACCATGATATAAAGTGACATTCATCCCCAATAAATAAATATAATGCCTGCCTTTAATCCTAGCATTGCAAAACAGAAGCAGATAGTCTTCTTTGAGTGTAAAGTCAGCCTAGTCTACAGAATTATGAAAAAATGACACATCCTTACACACACACATGCACAGACAAGCATCCTCAAAATCACAAGTAGTCTATATAACTGATGTAAGTACTCTAATTCTAACATAACTCCTAGAAAAAAATCATAGAAAAAAAAATGAGTGGAATGAAACAGGACAGAATTTCTCAACTCTCTTTTCATCCTTCATTTTCTTACCCATTTGGAATATATAGGGAAGATATAACAACCTAGTAGTGACCACAGTTTGTGTTCTGTGGAGGGCAAATCATGAGCATTGTTCCCACACAGAACAAAAGAACCAGATCTAAGAATAGTTAAGATACTCAGGAACTTTCACAATTTGGAGGAATCTTAAATCTGTAATGGAGAAGTAGATTACTAAAAAAGACACTGCAACTTAATTGTCTACTGTATCTTTGCATAGTGTCAATTCACCCTTCTCACACATTCTTCTTGGAATTTTACCTGAGTCATAAGCCTTTGCTAAACAGAAGAAGGAGCACAATATGGATACTTGAACTAGCCTCAAGCTGAAGCTACTGTGCAAACAGAAAAGGAAACACATTCCAGAGGAAATGGTATAATCTTCCCTGCATGTGAAATTTGCAATGCTCATAATCTGAGAGAAAAACAGCTATGTTTATTGGAATCCAAAGGAAAGTAAAACAGGTGAGGATTGGCCAAGTTAAGAATACTCAATTATCGAACAAAATTACGTTCTTGATTTCAAATGTGCAGCGATGATAAACAAGTTATTAGTGCTGCATTTCTATGTGTGCTTAAAAATTACACTATCACTTTATATATATATATATATATGCATTGTATATATACACACATATATATATACATCATACATATATATGCATTGTATATGTATACACATATATATACACATCTATTCCCATAAAAACAAAAAATGTACAGCAGGCATAGATGAATTAATTAGCTTTATCACTGGGTCACTTCAGCAATGCATTTCTTGGCCTAAACACCAAGATTATATGACATATATACTATCTTTCACATTAGTAATAATTCTACAAATTCATTAAATAAAAATTAAAATATTAATATAGATAAATTTTAAAACTTACCCATTTAGAAGAGGGAAAAGGTGGACTCAATGTCATTTTTATTTATTCTTTCTGTCTTAGAAAGCCTATAACAGGTAGTGAGTCCTTGATTGCTTTGATTCTATGAGAATGATTAACATAGACATTTTCATGCATTTCTCAGATATCTTTCTAAATTATTGCCCCAGGTTTCTAATGCTATTTCTTAACCCATTAAAACAACAAAAGGAAAATAAACCAATTTTATTTTTTCACATTTTCCAATTGAAAATCCAGTTTCTTATGGATTTTATTCATAATGCACTCTCATTATACTCCAGGAGATTCCTTGAGCTCTTCCAAGTGCCTGAAGACAGATAAAAAAGGACTGAAGTGATGGCTTGTATGTGTTAGACCAATATGTATCCTTAGTGCCTTAGAGATTTAATTAATGCCTGCCCTGGTCTTTTGGGATTGTGTATACTTAGTACTTGAGGGAAAATGAAACTCCCATTACCTAATCACCTTCTTCACAGAAATCCATTGTTTGTTTCTTTCTTGTTACCCAAATTGTCCCAGAACAGTACCACAAAAGAAGCCCAATGGCTTTCTTATTATTTCATAAAAATTGTTCAAGGAGTATAGTAATACTGCAGTTATAATTTCCCCTGATAATTCTCCAAAATCATGTTTAATTTGTTTTACTTTTGTTTGCTGTACAATGATCATAAATCAACATGAATATTATACCAGAGTTCAAACATAGAATTGCTTTCCTCAGGCCTATAAATTAATTTTCACATGATGCATATATTTTGCTTTTAATATTTCTTGAAAATAGCACTTATATATCAAATGCTTTTAGTCATTAAACACAATATTTAACAATCCAAGTCAACATTTTTTATACTTTTTATAGAAAATTATGGAAGTAAAAGAGTTGGATACTTAATATAATACATGAGGGAGAATTACTTAATATTTCTCTACAAAGCTTCTACTTATTAAAAATCAGAGATGATAAAGTATACACTTAATTTGATATTTGTGATTAATTTAGGAAAGCAAAATGGAAAAAGTAAAGTCCTGTAAACTAAAAACAGAAAAATCTCACCTGAAAGTACCAGTGCTCATAGATATATGAAAGGATTTGGTCCATATTAATTCTTCATATATTGAAAATAAAAAAATATATAGAAAGTGCATTTAAATTCAATGTATACAATAGAGTGTTGCTGTTGTCAAGTATAATTGAAACAGAAAAACATGCTGGACATTAAATTATATGATATAAATTGATGCCAAATCACCCAAAGAGAGTCAAATATTAATAGTAGTGAAATATTGTACTTGTCAGTAACATACAAAATGAATACCCTTGATGCCTCAAATAGAGAAGTTGGAATGATCCAAATACCAGGACCAAGATGTGTTATATTGTATGTAAAAGAGCCTAACCTCAGTCCTACAGACACATATAGAAGGAATGTGAAGACAAACAGGAGCATAAAACGCTATAGGAATAGATGACAAAGTAGACATTAAATCAAAGACTATGAATTGAAAATGAGAAATTTCATAATGATATTATATATTTATCAAGAAGTTATACAAAGTATAAACATATGAGCAAGCAGTATTAGAAAATAAATATCAGGGAAATATTTAAAAGCTTGAATTGAGAGGAGACAGAAAAAGAAATAAAAGAGTAGAAGCTGGACAAGGTGCAAAGTTTGAGAGATATTGGAACACTCAGTTCTCATTGGGCTGTCTCATTCAACTCTCTCCCCTTATGCCTCAGGAAACCCTACAGAAGAGAATGCAGAAAGATTTTTAAGATCAAAAAGGGATGGGAGAACACCAATGAAACAAGTCCTTTTAAACACAGTAGGACCAGTTCCCATATGAACTCAGAGACTGCGGTAAAATGCACAGGGCCTTAATGGGTTTGTACTATCTAGGGTGCCAACATATACAGAAATAGATATAAGCCACCATTCCTAACTCAGAATTTATCTATAATTAATAATAATTTATGATGAGAAATTAGTTTTTTCCAAGAGTCTCACTAGGTATACAAACATTCTTTGACTTTGTGTGTTTTATTATTAATTTACCTATCTATCTATCTATCTATCTATCTATCTATCTATCTATCTATCTGTTTATTTATTTATTTATTAACTACCTTTCCCCCACATCCCCTCTCCCACACATCTTTTCCACCTTTCCCTTCTTCCAAGGGCAGTATTCCCAGCTCATGTTTTGTTTTATCCTGGCTCTATGGGCTTTGTAATCTCTGGTTCCTGGCCTCTAGACAGTGGAAGAAATTGAATCCGCCTTATGGCATCTGTTTCAATATGGATTAGTCACTGGTTGGCCACTCCTACTAGTTCTGCACCACCTTTACCCATTCCACACAGGACCCTTTATAAATCACAAGTTTTGCTGGTGTCCCAGTCCATCCACTGGAAACCTTGACATGCTATGAAAGATGGCTGGTTCAGGTTTCACATCTAACACGGAAGGCAAAGGACAAAGCAAACACTACTGAAAGTTATTTTTCTGGCCACAGTATTATATTATTTTTAGTATTCTTGTATATAGACTTATTTTTTAAATTTCCTTTCAGACTGTTCATTGTTAATACAAACAAAGACACCAGGAAATTTGATGGCAAATGGATAGTACCAGAAACAAAACCATCCTGAGAGGTACCTAGAACCAGAAAGATAAACATGGTATATATTCACTCATAAGTGGATATTAACTGTAAAATAAAGGATAACTATGCTACAATCCTCAGACTGAGAGAAATCAGGCAACAAGGAGGGTTCGTGGGGGCTCCAGATTTCTGTGGGAAAGGGAAATAGAAGAGATTTTGTGAGTTAACTCAAGGCAGGTGGGGATAGGAACATAAGCAATCATGTTGAGGGACATGGAGGGGGAGATTACTCAAAGAGACTGAGAAGTGGGGCATTTAGGAGTCAGCTACAAACCTGGCACAAGGGAATCTCCCTGGAATCTACAAGGATGACCCCATCTAAGACTTCTAGCAATAGAAGATATTTAACCTCAACTGGCCATCTCATGTGACCAGATTGGTGTCTAGTCCAATAGTCATAGACAGGCTTCATCTTGCATATGATGGAAATAAAGTTCCATAAAAAAATTAGCTGGAATTTGGAGAGTCCAGCAGAAGAGGTGAAGAAAGGATTGTAGGAGCCAGAGGGGTCAAGGACACCACAAGAAAACTCACAGGATCAATTCACTTGGGTTCATAGGACTCACAGAGACTAAAAGGACAATCAGGTAGCATGCATGAATCTGACGCAGACACTATTCATTGTTCTTTATATCCATTTTACTTTTAAATTCTCAATATTTACAAGTTACATAATCAATAGTATTATGAAGGACATTTAAAATATAAAACATGATATTTTGAGACACAAATACATGTGGTAATGAAAACTAATCTTATGTCTTCTCTATCAGAATAGAGGAAATAACTGTCTTGTAAAATTTCTTTATGATCCTTCTGGGGTATGTCATTTTTTTCTTCTTTACCATTTATACAATGCTATATGCCTGTATCATATAATATTTAAAAATAATTATAAAGAGAAATATCATTGTTTAGATACTGTAATTATAAACTTATATTTCTTTCCCTAGTAATGAAAATAAGTCCTGC